AGCCCCCCCATGGCACCATACTGAAATAAAAAAATTCAAACAAATGAGTTATGGACACCAAAGAAAAAAAATATAATAATAATAATAATATAAATAATAATAATAATAATAATAATAATAATAATAATAATAATAATAATAATAATAATAATAATAATAATAATAATAATAATAATAATAATTATAATAATAATAATAGTAATAAAATTCACAATTTAGGAACTTACGTCACACTTTGCCCGCTCGGCCATTGGCTGATAGCCGCCGTCTTGTTGGACCGCCGGGTAGTTGTTAGGGTTACTGATCATCTCACAGTCCGTCTGTGAAACCAATCAATGTAACCCTCCTCAAGCTCTAGGAACTGATCCACCGGCTGATGTGGGAGGACATTTTGATCTCTATGTTCGGCTCAAGTCTTCCCAAGCTCCGAATGAAAGGCGGCCCAATCAGTATATGCCCTCCCAGTCATTCCCTGGCCTCGGTGGAGTGTCTCCCATTGGTCCACATCCCTAGTGATCGGAGCTGGGGGAATGGACTGGCGACATCCAAACTGACGGAGGACCCTATCCGGCTTGTGGAGCTCACAGATGTTCCAACAGAAGATTGGCCCCTTGTACATCCAAACATGTTGATCTTCTGTACACTGGTCCGGGAGAGTAGACGAATCCTCGAGGAACTGGACATAAGGCATCCAATCGAACTGGAAAAAAAAAGATAAAAAATTGAATTAAGAATTAATAAGAATTAAGTTAGCAAATATTTCAAATAAAAAAAAAACAAAAGATAAGTCAATATAAAACTTAAGAATCTTATCTGTGTCTCTCAGCCATGTCAGCTGATCCCGGATAGCAGCCGTTCCCTTGGCTATTTGCGTCAAGTTCTTTATTCCCACCCACCTTAAAGATCACAGAAAAATAACTTTGTAATTAGAAAATTTAATAATGAAAAAACTTAATATTAAATATAAATAAATGTTCATACCTTGCTCCTAAGGGACAACCAGGTACAGAAGCAAAGCGCGTGGACTTCATTGTTGGACGAAGGCGAGGGATGCGTTCCCATGCCCAAACCTACACATATCGACCGACATATGCATTTTTTGTATTAGATATTAGTCAGAATAAAAAAAAATGAAGTTTTAAATAACATCTAAAATAAATGTACCTGGAGCAATTGGACACAGCCCTTAATCCAACCTTGCCCGGCCAAGAAGGCTGTGCACAACGCTCTATACAATCCGGCGAGGACCGCTGAAGCCCAACTATACCCCTTGATTTTATCAATGTCGCGCAGCATATCCAACCAGTACAGGTTGACTCCGTTCGCCCGCTGGTCGGAGAAGAAGAACGAGCCTATGCACCAGAGTATAAGGGCTCTCGCCCTTTGTTGGTAGACCTCGACGCTTCTCCATCTGAGAGCTCTCGTTTGCATTCAGCCTCTAATGGGCCGACATTCAAGAATTGGCCTTTAATGGGCCAAGTGTTGGGCTCGTACGCCGGGTCATCTCTATCCTGTAATTGGTTTTTAAAAATAAAAAATAAAAAAACGAGCAAATTAGAGATAAAAAAATAATAATTAAATATAATTAAATAGTTTCATATTTCTTAAAGATAGAAAATAATACATTTATATATAAATTAAAATAGTTGAAATTTTAATAAACGAGAAATGGGTGTCACAATGCTATAAAATTTGTATTTTTTTATTGAATTCGAATAAAATATATGAAATTGTAAATACTATTTGAGATAGAATATATACCTGGACATTGGGGCGAAACCCTAGCCAGTCAACACACATGTCTCGCCATTGCTGGGGAGTCGTATCTGCAGTCATTCCCCAACAAGCTTCTCCATTGGCTGGGAGGCCAAATAGGACTTGAACGTCCTGCAGCGTTATTGTGGCCTCCCCACAATCGAAGTAGAAGGTATGAGTCTCGGGACGCCACCTTTCCACGAGGCAGGTGATGAGGCTGTTGTCCGTTGTTACCCGGCCCATCCGAAACACCGGGCCAAAACCTGCCATGTCGATTTGCTCCCAAACTTTATCATGTTGCTTCTCCAATGTGGGCCATAACTCAGTGTCGTTCTGGCGGTTTGTAATAATGCCGTTACGATAGCCTTGTACATCGTCATATACCGACAGCTGTCCTCTCCAACTCCAGATAGGCGGCATAGAGGTGGGTAGGAATTTGACTCCGACATCTTCTGGACTTTTTTTGTTCCTGTTGGAACAAATCCAGAGTCTTGTCCAGTGTCGCCTGTACTAATGCTCTGCAGGACATGAACCTAACACCTTTGAGGACGTTGTTGTAACTCTCTGACATATTGGTTGTCAGAGTGCCCCATCGACGTCTGTTATCTCTATAGGGGGTCCACTTTTCTAAAGGAATTTGGAAAAGGTAACTGCATGCTTCCGAGTGACATTCCTGCAGTTGTTGTCGAGCATGCTCAAATTTGCGACGAGAACATAATGAACCCAACCTCCAGCACAGAACCCGGACTTTCTTACTCCGATACCTTGAAACCACGTTGCTCCGGAGGTGTCGAAGGCATATCCGATGAAATGGATGGGGTTCGTGCCAAGCCTCCAGTAAATCAACGGCACTCAATATGCCGTTGTCCCTGCCGGAAAGAAGACATATCTGCCTGTCGGAGAGGACATGATTGCGCAGATGTGTTAGGAAAAAGGACCAGCTAGTCGTGCTTTCTTCGTCCACAATCGCATACGCGACTGGCAATAGACGCTTATT